CCTCCACCATTTCAGGTTCTTTGTATGTTGATGATTTACAAATTAGCTGTAGAGGTGTGGATATGAGACATGTAGAGAGACAGCTCCAGATCGCCTTGAAACAGGATCCAGGAATGGACAAAAAGACAAGGATTTACGTTTTCGAAAACAGAAGACTGTCTGTGTGCGTGCATTTTTGTAGAAAAGCGAGGTCTGCCATCCTGAGCCTGAATTATACCTTAATGGGTCTGTGATTCCAGTAGCATCTGAAATAGAAAATTTTTAGGGGTGATGTTTCAGCGACCAAAAATTGACCTTTCCTTCCTCATGTCCTTAAACTTGAGAAAAAAGGTGTATAAAAATTTTAAATATTTTAAAAGTCCTGGCGAACGCCTCCTGGGGTGCAGAGCGTTGCTCCATGCTTCGCATTTGCAGAGCTCTTGTTCGCTCTAGACTAGACTACGGCTCAGCTGTTTATGGATCCGCTCGGTCTTCAGTGTTGTTAAAACTAGACCCTGTTCATCATCAGGCTCTACGGATTTGTTCTGGAGCCTTCAGGACATCTCCTGTCCAGAGCCTTTATGTTGACTGTTACGAACCATCACTCCGTTTGAGGCGTGAGGAGTTATCTCTTTTACAGTATTTTAATATTTTATCTCAACCTGACCATCCTTATAACTTGTGTATATGTGACAATAGCTGTGACCTTTTATTTGAGGCACGTCCATCCTGTGTGCCTTCTTTTCCTGTTAGAGTTCGTCCCCTCATTGAAGAATTCTCCCTGTCTCATATTTCCCCACAGGCAGTACAGCATTTTGAAATTGCACCTTGGGAAAATGCACAAATCCACCTTCTTGACATTTTCCACAATTACGGAAAAACAACTACTAATGAGAGCATCTACAGACAAATTTTTGCTGAGCACAGGCATAGTTACAGGAGTTATGTTCCGATATATACGGATGGCTCTAAGTCAGCTTGCCATGTTGGCATGTCATTTATAATTGGTGACCACATGGAAGGCAGACGTTTACACGACGCTTCCTCTGTGTTAACCTCCGAACTGACTGCCATATGTTATGCGCTTTTGTACATCTCAACGCTGCACCATTGAAAATTCATTGTATATACGGACTCCTACAGTGCATTGAAAGCTTTAGAATCCTTTTCTAGCACTGAAAATCCTGTGATAGTGGATGTTCTCAAGTTGAATATTAAATTGACATGTCGTGGATTTGAACTTCTGTACTGCTGGGTCCCCGGACATACAGGAATAAAGGGCAATGAGCTGGCGGACATCGCAGCGAAATCTGCTGTTGAAATGTCCGGCCGCCTCATCCCTTTTAAAGATATCCGTTGTGTCATAAAAAAGAAGATCCGAAAGAAGTGGCAGCAACTTTGGGACCTCCAACTTCATAACAAGTTGAGAAGGGTGAAGCCTAAAATAGAGCATTGGGATACTACTAGCAATCGCAGGGAGGAAGTTCTTTTGACTCGCCTTAGAATTGGTCACAGTAGAGTGACACATAACTACCTTCTCAAAGCTGAGAACGAGCCTATTTGTGCAACTTGTAATGTTTGTCTTTCAGTTTATCACATTTTAATTGAATGTTCATATTTTAATACTCTTCGTGAGAAGTATTTCAATGGCTGCGACCTGCCTCTCGACCGTTTAATCGGAAGAGAGGTCAATAATAATTTGTTTCACTACCTCAAGGAAACAGGTTTCTATTATTTAATTTGATTTTTGTCCTGAAATTTTATGTTGGAATTTTAATTAATCAGATGTTTTAGGATTTTATATCTATACTGCATATCTCATTATCAAAGTTATAATCAGCATTTTCATCCCATCATTTAAATATCTTTTTACTTGCCTCGATTTTAAAAGTGTGCTGTTGTCTTTATATTTTTTGTTCCTTTAGTTTGTATGTTAAAAAAGAATCCTGTGTTTGGCGCATATGGCCTATTGAGCTTTGCGCCATAAAACTACTACTACCACTACCACTACCACATTCAATACCGATTTGCTAATAGATTCTTAAATTTTTCATTTATGACCCATAAAAATCCTTAAAAGTACTTAATTTCCATGGGTAATGTGTGCAGGTCCTGCATATTTTTTTCATCTTTTCCAATTGAGTATCCTTGTAGTTTGAGCAATCTTTGCCAGTGTATTGTCTGAAGCATTAACTTTAAACTGAAATTTTTTCCATATTGTCATTATGCTGTATTCTTTTGTAACTAGTTCTTTTGCAACCAATAAAACACATGTACCATTTGTCAGCTTTTTTAAAGCTTCAGTTTTTAAAGATAATGTCAAACTTTGTGTCTTTATGCTAATGTTTCATTTTTATTCTTCTTCTTAGATCTCATATTGAATTTTTGCTGTTAAAATAAATACAAATGCAAAAGAAGAAGAAGGTAATGCTGATAAATACATGATTATGGTGCTACTAAATGTTAGTAAATGATCACATCTTACCCTAGGTAGATATGGCACCAACATGTGGGCAGCAATAACAAGTTTGTGACTGGTCCTTTGTCAACTGCATTGCTATAGTAAAAAATGTAGTTCATGTTTTGCAGTATATCATATATAACAGAAATTCTAGTATTGGACAAATCAAATGGAAACCATTAAGATAATGCATTTGTGTATGACCTTGTTCAACAAGGATTTACTGTATTTAACCTATTTCTTCATGCCTACTTTTTCCTCATACCCTTGTGGGTGTGGGTTGTTCTTCATTAGACTAAAGAAATAAAAATGTGAAAGTATAACACAGATTTGTATGATAAATGAGAGACCAGTCCAATTTGCTGATCACATGAGTTATTGCCAAATGTTTGCAATAGCATGCTTTATCATGGTAAACATGAATTTCATTCAGATTCTTGTCTAGTCTTTTCTTTTTAATTACATTTTTAAACTTTTGGAGTGTCTGAATATATTACTTGCTGATTATAATATAGCCACATTTCAAAATATCACATAAAGTGATGCCATTGCCATAACCCCCCCAAAAAAGTAATTAAAAAAAGTTCACAATAAATTCCTGTTCTGATTGCTGCTTCTTAAACAATTTAGATCTTGCAAAAGGATGGGAATGCCATGAGCACATTTTTTCCCTCCTTTATATCAGTTTTTAACTGGCAAGTACGTATTCTGTACATATTTTATGAGAACGTTAATCTTCTGCTATATTTTGTTTATCATTGTGACTGCAGCCCACTTGCACAGAAAGCTTGCTGATTTCCTGCCTGACTCAGTTCAGTCAGATTTGAAAGTTACTGCAGTTGATGGTCTCTCACTGCATGAATTATCTTTCATGCTCATTTTGCTTTTTTAAATTTCTTCATCCTTCTGTACATGTTGCTTTTGTTAGTGATATTGCTTCTATAAAAATCGTAGCTTTATTTAAATGTTAGACAGACTGCATCTTTCTTTTGCCAAGAACTAAATGATATGAATTGTTTATACTTCATATCCATTATTACTATATATTTGCAGAGATAAAGAGTTAATTTAATAATATATACAGTTTGGATGTTCTATGCCAGTTATTAAAATAGTTGGGCATCCTTTTGCATTACTTTCCGTCAGTCCGCATATATGAGCGATTGTAGTGTCAGGCTATTTAAAAAAGTGCAGTTCCTTCTTCACACCTTTTGTGAAGTACACCTTCTTCACACCTTTTATACCATTAGAGAATGTTTGGAAAAAAAAAAAAAAAACTATATTGAATTTTATCACATTGTTTGAATTAGTACAATGTAATTTTTCCCATTTTCAAGAATTCAGTACTGTTTTATAATGTGCTCGCAATTAAAAAAGCTGTGCTCATTATTCTTAACCGTTTGAGTCCCAAGCAGCGCGATCACGCTTTTGAGATTTGAGTACGTTGTGAACATTGTGGTCAATTGACAGTGCACTTGATGTTGATAATGTGGAAATCAAGTGCACATCGATGCAAAATAAACAAAGCACTATCACATCACTTGTTATTTCTTGACATAAAATAAAACAATCATGATAGATTCAAAAGAAAACTTTTAGGAGTGAATAAAATTTAGTATTTTGTTAGAGTAATTTTTTTTTTTTTTTTTTTTTTAAATCTTTCAAGTTACCACATCTAATGCAGGGTTTCCCAACCCTTTTGTCCGTAAGAGCATATTCTAGAATATCTGCTGGACAGTGGGCACCATTTACTTTTTCAAGGTGAATTTATAGTTGGGTAGCATTGACGCATAATTCACAAAAAAATACTTAATTCAAAAAATAAAACCTAACAAAGTTATTGTTTTCTTGAATTATTAAGAAATGCATACAAAATTTACAAAGTACAAAAACTCTTTATAAAAAAGTACAAATCTAATAAGGCCAAAGGCTCAGAATTGTTTGTCACCAGAAGACTTCTGAAATATCTCCCAAACTGGCTGCATTCAAGTTCCACACCAGAGGTGAGACTTTGTACTGTAATAGTCTATTTGTAGAGATGTCACTATATTGTTATACTACATGTTTAAAAGCTATTAAGTTACTAATTTTTTATTGCCCAATTTGGAAACTGTGCTTTCGAGATGAACCATTTCATTTCATTTTGGATTTTAGGTATGGGAAATTAGGTTGGCGAATGTACCCAAACTGGTTGCATTCAAGTTCCATACTTGATGTAAGACTCGGTGTTGTTATAGTCTATTTGTAGAGATGTAGCTATATTTTTATATTGCGTGATTTTAGGTATGGGAAATTAAGTTTGTGAATGTGCAAGGAAGAAAAGAGATTGGTTGCATTTTGCTTTGAGCTGGTATCTGTGTTGGATGCAATTTCTATTTCATTAAAAATGAGAAAACTTTCACATAGAATTTTGTTGAAAACTAAAACATTTTTATTGTGAGAGCAACAGGCACACGTTAAGCGATCGGCGGGTGCCATGGTATCCGTGGACATAGGATAATTTATATCTGTAATAGACAAAGAAATAGGTGAGAAAATTAAGTATTTATCTTTTTTTCAGTCATTTCATTCATCCTCTATACGAACTATGTCATTCATGGAAATGGATCCTAGCTGTGCCATTGGTTTCTACTTCAGAAAAAAAGAAGATTTTGACCATTTTGTGACAAAGTTTTCTGAAGTAGGTATAGAACATGTATTTTTTATACAAATTATCTGTGAAACAACCAGAGGTGAGACTTTGTCACTCTATTGATTGAAATCTCAACTAATAACATATAACATGTATGTGAAACTGAAAAGTAGTTATAATTTAATCTGATAGGAATGATTTTTTTTGCTTTGGTAACATTAGTTTTCATCCTCTTTTCTTTCAGTGTGTGATTTATCACATTTAACTGTGAAGATTTCATAGATTTATATCTTAATTTTTTGTTTCAAGTATTCAATGTTTATGTAATTTCTTGTTTTATTACATTATTAACTTGTGTGTATATATATATATATATATGCATATATATATATATATATTATTTATTATTAGAATATTTATCATCTCCAGTGAAAAGAAATTTAATTAAAGCTATGAACTTTAAGAAGTATAGGTTTAAGTAGCTTTCCTTTACTCCTTACTTTCCCTACTTTCCCTACCTTCCTTACTTTACCTACTTTAAGAAGTAGTTAAGTAGTATTCTAAGTTATCTAACAGTAACCAAATTAAGTGAGAATGTTTCATCTTTTTTCAAATAAGGATCAGATTAGTTATTTTTTTAGAGTTATAAGCTAAGAACAATACTTAATTATTAGAAAGATTACTTAGTCTACTTAAGCCCAAAAAAAAAAAAAAAAAATACCATTAACAAAATCTAAAATAAAAATGAGTAAGAAAAATCTTAATTTAAGGTATTTGTTAAGAATTGAATTTAGACAAGATCCTTATTTTAGAAAAAATATTCCTTTATATTATATATATAATATTTTTATTAAAAACAATAAAAAATTTGTTAATATTTGTGTGCAAATTAATATATATAAAGGAAAAACATTAATAGAAAAATGTATAAACAAATATAATATTTTAGATTAAAATTTTCTTTTGTAATCAAACTCAAAATTTATATATTCTTATGTATATACACTCATGGGCAAAAAAATTAACACACCAAGAAATAAACGCGGGATCGTAACGAAACTTGCAATGAAGGTACATGTCGGGGAGATATGCAAATGATTAGAAATGCAGCTTGATTGCGCATTATGTATAGCCGGTAGAAAGCGTTGACTGACATACTCTGTGGAGTATAAAACAGGTAACCAAAGCTTGTTTGAGTGTGCTGAATCATTTTCAAAGGAAGGGCTGAGGTAGAGATGCCATTATGCCGTGTTCGAAGACAATATGAGCAGTTGTTGCAGTTTGAGAGGGGGAGAATTGTCGGGATAATGGAAGCTGAGTGGTCAGCTAGGCAAATAGCTCGTCAATTAGGCCGCTCTGATTGTGTTGTGAGGAGGTGTTGGGACCAGTGGACCCGAGAGATGTCATGCACACGAAGTCCAGGCTCCAGGACGCTCTCAACAGACCAGTCGTCGAGAAGACCGCCACATCGTAAGAAATGCATGCGTACAGCCAACTGCTTCATCGGCCGCCATCCAGGCACAGGTAGTGCCTTTACTAGGGGCCCCTGTGTCTTCTCGAACCATACGAAGGCGGCCTGGCTGAAGGACAGTTGGTATCATGGCACATTATATTACTCGATGTCCTTTAACAAAGTCAACTCATATTAAATTGCCTAATTCAAATATCAATGCCTTCGTTTTGCAGTTACCAACAAACATTTAAAAAATAAAATAGAAAATACAATCAAATATGTATCTTCAATAGGCAAAAATTTATGTGAGCACTAATGTAATTAATGTCAAAATTCATTTTTGAAGCTGCAAGTCATCTAACTTTTATTATCTAATTATCTTAAAAACAAACCCTTGCAATAATAATGATATAGTAAAAAAGGGAAAAGAAGAGGAAGAAGATACAGATTCATATAATAAACTTTATCTCAAGGAACTATTATGAACTGTTATAAATTATGACTATTAGCCTACTATTATTATACCTAATGTAACTACTCTAATTATATCTAATAGATATGATATCAATCAAAATGTCGATATACTATTTATACTGTTATATTATGTGTTATATTATACTATGTACTATTTTGAATATTAACTTTAAAAATAAACCGAAGTGTAGTGGGACTATACCTACATTACTTATAGTAAACATTGGGTGTCCCACTACATTTCCACCTGAACGTGATGCTCATTACGTGTGCTGCCCTTGATGCACACCCATCGATGCCTCCGTTTGGAGTGGTGTCGAGCACGAGGAAACTGGACTGTAGTGGAATGGAACCAGGTCATCTTTAGCGATGAATCCAGATTCAATCTCGGCAGTGATGACAATCGTGTTTGTGTGTGAAGAGCCCATGGTGAACGCCTCAATCCTACCTTTGTTGTACAGCGACACATCGCTCCCATAGCTGGTGTGAGGGTATGGGGTGCCATTGCCTATGATACACGGTCACTCCTAGTATTGTTCCGTGGCACCATGACAGCCCAGTGGTATATTCATGAAATCCTGCAACCACATGTGTTGCCACTAATGCAACGGCTCCCAAGAGCCATTTTTTTAACTAGACAATGCTTGGCCTCATACGGCAAGGGCTGTCTCCGCACTGTTACTACCCTTTCTTGGCCTGTCCGATCCTCAGATTTATCTCCAATCAAGCATATCTGGGATCATTTGGGATGACGAGTTGAACATCCCACGAGTTTGAACGAACTAGAAGCAAGGTTACAGCAAATATGGAACGAAGTGTCTCAAGACATCATACAGAACTTGTATGACTCAATGCCCGATCGTATCGCATCTTGCATTCGTGCTAGAGGGTGTCCAATGGAGTAGTAACTCCTCCGTTTTTTTGCCTTTTTCTCTGAAATAAATTATCCTTTTTTTTAATTTTTTTTCTTATCATTTACTTATATCAAAGTAGTCATTACGTATGTAAAATTTCATTTCATTTTGACGACTCCTTCTTGGTGTGCTAATTTTTTTGTTCATGAATGTATATATGTAAGAAAAATAAAGAATATGTGAAAGATGAAATTAGCAGTGTAAATTAACTTCCCTTCTCTATTCTAAAAATAGTTTCTTACACATATATATATATATATATGCTATAACTACTACAAAGCTGGGCTATACTATTTAATATATTTTCATGGTAATATTAACTTTTCAGATTGCCCATGCCACTTTATGCCCTTGCTTCTGCATGAAATAATTTTCAGCTGTTCATTTTAGATTATTAATTTCTTCTATTGTCTACTAACTAAACTTTTAACAGATTTTTGAGTATACCATGCATATGTACAAAACCTGTAAAAACAAAATATAAAATAACAAATATTTCTTCTATTGTCTACTAAATAAACTTTTAATAGATTTATGAGTATACAGTCAAAAGTCTTTAATCCGGACTCGTCGAGACTTCGGTGATTCCGAATTATCGATTTTTCCGGATTATAGATCATCAGTTTAAATCTGGTAAGATGGCATGCAGAAATTATAAAATAAAAAATATGAAAACGTAATTTATAAAATAATGAGCAATTATGATCTAAAGGGTATCAAAATTTACAAAAAAAAGCTTAATATTTATTTGTTTACTTTGTTAAACATTTCTTTCAACGCGCGCATGCGTAAAGTATACGTTATGCATAGCCGAAATTAGAAAATTGCAACCAGAAAACTATTTGATTTGTATTTGTGATATTTATAATGACGAGGAATTTGATTTAAATCATATCAAAGACGAAGTACATTGAGATGAAATACTACATTTAATAAGGAATTATAAGCCGAATAAAATAAAAACATCTGCCCTGAAGATAACGATAGTGTTGACAGATCAACTTCCAGTTAATTGCGCGCCGCCAAGCCCCCCCCCCCCCCACGCAGAGCAGCGTGAAATTGATAAACAGATTTCGGAACGGTTAGATAAACAAAGGATATGCCTTTATCCATTTTTTGGAGCAATTCCACTTTTTGTTTGATGGACATCGAAACATACTTTCATTTTCGTAGATCCTTTGGGAGCTCCAGCATCAGAAATTCTATTTGACATAATCGAAAGTTCAAGCTTACTTTTATAAAATTGCTCTTACAGTCAGCAAAAAATAATAAGCCGGATCCAATTCGAAGATTAAGGAACAACGCAATCATCAACATTAACTGAAATAGACAATTAGATAATTTTAGCTTATACTGTCCGTTATACATTAAACGCGCAGCGAAAACATATTCTGCGCTTGTGCACACGCAAATGCGCAGTCGTAAAGGTCTTACGCGCACGCTTAAACGCCTATGCGCATGCGTCAACACGGTGCATGCGCAGAAAGTTTTTAGCTTTGAGGTCCGGATATAGATCATTCCGGATTATGGGTGTCCGAATTAACGACTTTTGACTGTACCTTGTATATGTACAAAACCTGCAAAGCAAAATGTAAAATAACAAATATTCTATTAACTGATTAATTGGGGTAAAAATGTTAGACGCATTTGGGGCATCAGTATTAACAATTCTAGTATGTTTCATGCAGTTGTTTAAATCCTGAATAATTCATATTTTAATTTGAATGTGTCATATTTATGTAGCATTTTATAGTATGATTGATTTTCTTATAAACATTGAGGAAATGCACACTTATCTGATAAGAAATTATTCTGCATATTATTTCTCTTCCAAGGAATCCCTCTACTGTTATTCTGTATGTAGTGTCTAATTTCCTCCTCTCATTTAATTTGATTGCTGTCTTTTTCACAGATCACTGCTCCATTGAAAAAGAATTTGGATTACCCGGTGTTTGCATTAGCTGATGGTAAAAGAAGTGAAATTGAAGAAGTGGATGCTCAAAGAATACATGAAAGATCTTCATTTTCACATAGCAACAATAAATCTCTTGATGAGGTTGATGAAGATTATATTTTATTATAAGACTGTTCCATTTTCATCTGTGGAAAAATATGACTAGAATAGGAAATCACATTACTTATTTGTTTGTTTAATAAGGACTTTTTGAAATTAAATGCAACACATTGGCAAATGCTTTGTTATTAATATTTTATTTATTTGATTAATATATTTATGTTATACTTTTAATTTAAATCTTTTAAAAGTACTAATGAATTTTGTACTTAGTTTTATGATAAATTATTATTAGGAACTGATATTTTTAAACACTTTTATCGAAGAGAAAGGATGTGTAATATGCTATAAATTAAAAGCTGAACAATTTGAGGAATATTAGAAATCTCATGGTATCCACAGATATTACTAAAATTTAGAGTTCAGAAAATATTTTCCCTAACCGAATTTCAGTATACTGTTTTTAAATTTTTACATGAACTTAATCACATGTAAGTACTTTATTTCATTCCATATCTGTAGAATTAAATATAGTAATTCATTATTTTAAGTGTATTTCTGTAAATATTTTTTTATTTCCAAATTCATGGAAATAAATAGCGTATAAATGTTTCTGGTGGTACTTTAAAGTGAATAAATTTGTCCAATTACTGACATGTGCAAATGCAATATGTAAAACCAAAGTCTGATAAAAAAATATTTTATCTAATTGTATTACATCCATTAATGTTTTGATTTTTATTACTTTCCCTTATTACAGTACAAAAATTCCAACATTAGAAGTCTTTTATCAGTTTCAAAATTCCTATGCAGACTGGTACAGTTTTCAGTTATGTATTTATCATTCAAGTGGCAGCATTTCTTACAACTACTGATATAATGCTTTGCATTATATTTTATGTAATTATTTGTTTTTATAATCTGAGCATAAACTAAATTATTTCTGCAGCATTAAGAAAAATTAAGGCAGCAAAATATTTTAATGAACAAGGTAACAAAATGAAGACAAATCTGACTGGATAAAGGCAGCTATGCTTAGTTTGAAGTAATTTTGTTAGTCATCCATTTTAAATCATAATTAAATAAAAAAAAATATCTATAAACATTCTTGAGTGAAATTTTGAACTAAGGAATCCCTAGTTTAACACTTTTAATTAGTCCTTTTGGAATGCTGTGCTGAATGAAATCATGTTAAAATACAAATAAGTATAAAATAGCAAAGTTCATCCATTTGTTTCTCACATTTTCATTTTATATTTCTGTTTAACTATTTATAGAAAATTAGAAGGAAATATAGTAAATTTAATCTAAGCCTTTTTTGACAAATCATCTAAAGTAGGTTAAATACTGTTTTGTTTTCTCTTCATACTTTTCTTTATAACTCATTGGGCACTGTCAGTCACACAGCGAATTTGAATATCTCTTTTTCCATTCAAACCTAAGTTTAAAAGTTATATTTTTAACCCTTTCAGCAATGCGGTTTAAAATTCATATTGGTAACCCTTCAGCAATGCAAAATATTTTATACATCTGCTCCAAGTTCATGTCACTTATAGAAGGGCTTTCTTGATCAGTAAATATGCTATCATAAATTTGTCTTACAAATTTGACAGTATATACATTTGCCAAGTTTACTTCATTGAAACATATGTCCAATAATAGCTAATAATTGTTTTATCAATAGCTATGATAAGCTATTTGCTGGCTATACCCAATATGATCAGTTGTACAATAAAGCGAAAGTTCTTTCCATGCATTTTATATACTCGCAGATGTTACTTACTCTCATGGTATCACAAATATTTTCAGTTACGCTTTTTTTTTTAACTTAATTGCTTTAAGAACTGGACTCATCAAATTTGGCTATTACTCAATATCTTGTATTGCTTATTGAAAAATCAGTTAATTGACTCTAAAGTTCACAAAGACCCATATGGCTGCAAAAAAGATGTCATGTTATGAAGCAAAAACACAAGTTTGATATTTTCACTGAGGTCACTTATTGTAGAGAATGATCAAGGGTGTTATTTAAAAGTAATAAAATTTAGAGCTCAGACTATTTTGCTTTATTTTTATTTTATTTTGCTTTATTTTTATTTAGACTATTTTGCTTTATTATTAAATTTAGAGCTCAGTCTTTTTATGCATAGGCAGATATGAGTTTTCTATTAATTTTCAAAAGTGACTTGATTATATACACTTTTGTATTTGAGCACCAGAGAATTGGCAATGAGTTAGATAAAGTTGTATAAGCAGATTCTTGAGTTCAAACTTATAAATATGAAGATATATGTTGCTCAATCGTATTTGTTACCTCTATAAAAATTTTATCTGTACCATGTGAAGTCTTCTCACAGTAAATAAAAACAGATTGCAATTAATGAAGCATTTAAATTTAAAAACTTGTAAAATTATGTGAAGTGGGAAATTTTTGTAACTGCATATAGAAATATTTGAAAATAGTATCACCTGCAAAAATGCATGGCAGTGAATATTTTATAACTCAGTTTCCAAATAAAATGAGGTGTCTCCAAGTTAAGCATTATAATTAAAATCTCTCTTAAAACAATACACATTTTATTCTTTGTTATAAAATTTCCTTTTTAAATAATGACTTTGTAATGTATTGTAAGGAAAATGAAACTAAAAAAATCAAAGAGTAGATTGTTAAAAGTGATTTGAATATATGTATTTTTAAATTAAAATCTGTTAATTTCTGAAATATTATTTTGTATGCAGTAATGTGTTAAGGAATTACAGAAATTTATCAGTCTAGTATATTTATATATAATAAATTCTCATTTTATTTCAGAGGGAAAAAATCACCTTAAAATTTAATTCTAATTAATAATGGGGAATTTTTATGAAATGTAAGTGCATAACATTAGATAGATGCTTATAAGTTCATCAGCAGTATTATCATTAATTTTAATTACTAAAAATTACTGTTATTTTTTTAAATCTTGTATTGAATAATTTTAATCTTGTATTGAATTGTACTTGATCTTGTTTTGAAGGCTAATTAGGAAAGTTCAAGAAGAACACATGTTTAAACAAACATCTTTGAATGTTTGTCTAATTATGATACATTCTTATTATATAACAAAAATAGAAATCTGTTGTTGATATACGTAACAAGGCTTTCTGAATATATTAACAGTTCAAAAAGTCAATATATCCCAGTAATTTTAGATTGAAAGTACTAAAAGCTGTTAATTATTAAAAAAATTGATATCTTAATGTATGTGTGGTCCCTCCCCCATAAAAAATGGATATTTTTATGCAAAAAAAGGAGAACTCAAAAATATGTTTTATATAAAAGTAATCTCCTGCTTTATGAATTATATAAAATTTTGAATTTTATGTGTATGGTATTATTATAAATAATTTACATTGATTTATCAGAATCAAGCTAGGCTGTTATGATAATTTTGTATGCATGATTGCTTGAAAAAAGTTGAAGCTGAATGGGGGGAGATAATCATTTTTCTCATTAATAGCAAAATGAAACAAAATTAGGAGTATGGAAATAAAATAATTACCATCTGTTATGTTTCAGAAAAAAATGTGTCATTTTGAACATAACTTGTGTCATTAAAATCTTTTTTTTTTTTTTTTTTTTTTAAATAAACTGGGCTTTGTTAAAACAGCATGAAATCTAATTAATTGGAAATATTTTACATTATAAGCTTGTAAATTTACAACAAATTTTAAAAAGTAATTTAAGTAGGATATTAATTGGAAATATTTTACATTATAAGCTTGTAAATTTACAACAAATTTTAAAAAGTAACTTATGTAGGATATTTTATGTATAACAAAATTGTTATGGTAAGTTTTTAAGCACTGGATATGTTTGTATTTCAGTCTTTGTAAATTTTACTAAGATTTTTCTTAAAAAATTAATTTGTTGTGCACTTCTCATTTGTATTTTGCAATAATGTGCAAAGCATTTATTCTTTTTTTATTTTAGTTATTTTTTAAATGAATTAGGTGATGGTAGTTCTTAATTGCTTATATATATTACAAGAAAATTTTTAATCATCTGTTACTTGATGTGAAATATTATATGATGATACTGAAAACATACAGAAATGTAAGTCTAAAGCATTTTTTAAGTCATTAGTGTTGATTTTTTCTAATTTTAAAATGTCAAAAAATGAAAAATTGTTCTTTACTGGTATAATTATTTATTCTTCAATATATTGTTTGTTTAGTAATGTCTTAAAATTTAATATATTAGCTTATGTACTAGTCATTGTAATTAGAAAATTTGTCTGCCAAATTTATTATTATTTTGCATAAATATTAATCAGTGTTTATTTAAATATATTCACACATTTGTTTACTAACGGAAATCTTGTACATAAAAAAATTCTGTTGAGAATAAAATCAACTGTGATAATGGAAATACTGCTTATTCATTATCTATGTAGAAATATTTAAATAAATGTTACTTTGTTAAAAACTTTTTCATAGTTACAGGACTATATATTAGATTGACGTTTTATCACAATAAAATAAAATGCTTAATTTTGAAATGACAGTTTGTTGAAACCATTTTATTTTAAAAATATGATCACTCATTTTTAACAATCTGAATCTTTTTTTTCCTGCAAAGTTGTGTGCAGAAAACTTTAATATTTTTCTAATTTGCGGGTTCATATTTTTCTTTCCCTAAACCAATAATCTACATTTTACATTCCTATTACTTTTCAAACATGTCTGTGGTTTGAACAGTGAAACTAAATTTAAATGTACTGCTTTAAGTATTTTCTAAAATAGATACTGTATTGTCTAAATACTGTATTGTCTAACTGAGGTTATTTTGCATCTTCTAGAGAGGAATACATATACACATTTTGCAGCCATCTTTACCATCTATGAAGTGTAACTATTGATATACAAATTGCTATTTCCTTGATTGTTTCCAGCTTAGAAATATTATAATACAAAATATTCATATTATTATCTGATAATTTAATAACTATAACTGCTTTGAGAAAAATTGATTGCAGACTGATTTTTTTATAATAGCTAACCTGTCATAATGAACGATTTTAGGCTTAGAGTTTGATGACTTATGGATCCAAACCGCAACGCCGTCCATCCTGTTTAGGACTGTGTATGGACCATCCCAAAGTGACTGTAGTTTCGGACAGAATCCTTTCCGTTGAGTCGGATTCCACAACCACACCATGTCTCCCTCGTTGAATTGATGTCCTGTAGCTCTCATATCGTATAGTGTCTTCATCTTCTCCGTCGCTGACTCGCTGTCTTGCAAAATCGGGCATCACTTCAAACCGTGCCTGGGAGATCGTGGATGTACTCCTCAGGCGATGGAGACGCATCTGGAGGGCCACCAAACAAAAGATCACAAGGCAGACGAAGGTCACGACCGTAGAGCATCTGGGATGGGTAATAGCCAGTAGTGTCGTGGCAGCACTACTATAGGGTAGTAAGAAGAGTGTTAATTTCGTATCCCAGTAATTTTGGTTTCTGGGAACACCTAGCGAGAGGTTATTAAGGATGGTTGGATTAAACCTTTACCATGCCGTCTGACTGGGGATGGAAATGTGCTGTTTGGGTTTTTTTTTTTTTCAAACTCTGCTCCGCCAGATTGCCACAATTTTGTTATTGCGTCCTTGCTGGGGAGCGGTCTTATTATCCGTGTTCTAGGATGTCTGCAGTTCCTCCGTACGTGGCCATTAGCACTGCAGTTGCTGAACTTTATGGTAGGTTCTGTTTGCACACCTATTCCGTCTCAAGGCACTTAATGGTCTGGTTAATTCGTGTAGACAAACAGTCACTTGATCCACTGGCTTCAGGTCTTGAACAGTTCTGATTGAGTGGCGGTCTCTATGAGTTGCTTCTTGGGCTACCTCGAATTTCATGACGAACAGAAGAGCACTGTTTAAATCAGCCATCCGTAGAGCTTTATGTATTTCAGGATCCCGGATGACGTCCATGAAGTATTTGTTACAGGAATAAGATTTGCCTTGTTTCTGTCGGACACTCCAAAAGGACAAGGTGAGGCAGCCTTTCAATATCTGTGTTGGGCTCCTGGAATGTGTCTGTGGGCTTCTTTTGATGGGATTTTAATTGAAGCCAGCTGTAGTCTTTTAAACATTTCTCCTCAAAGCGCAGCTCTAATGCACCGGATAGAGATTCGAAGTCTAGCCTCTGTTTTGGGGTAGAGTTTGAAGGATATCCACTGCATCTGCTGTCAGAGAAGCGGCGAGAGGACAGGCCATAGCTTGCGAATCCCATTCATTAGCATCCGCCACTACAGAAAACTGTGTCTTGTACACTTGTCAGGAGGTCTTACTATCATATGTGGATAGCATTAGAGGGGGACGAGAAGGTAAAATTAAAAACCATCAGAATTGCTTTCTGCTGTCTCTATGCATTTCTTTAAGGTGTTAATTTCTTTGGCGACAGCAGTAACTCTCTTTTCGATCTGTTCTTTGACGGAAGAAACACTTTCATACATTTCTCCAATTCTATTTTCAATCGTGTCTGTTCTGACTTCCATAGCCTCGAATTTGGTTTCTATTATGACAGTAATTTCTCTTTGCATTTCCTCTTACCGGCTTCCATTTCTTCTTTAACGAAGCTGACGGCTTCCTCCATCTTTTCTTAGCCCACCTTCATTTCTACTTTAATGGGTACTTGTCCTTTCATCTCTTCTTTGACGGACCTTTCCATTTTTTCTTGAAACGCAGCAAAGGCAGTCACAAGCTGTCTTAGTTGCTAAATTATCGCTTTTGCAGCGGCATTCAATCCCACTTCTGACACAAAAATTGCTGCCTGTGTACGGGTTCTTAATAGATTTATAGAGACATTAGGTTATTTCAAACAGAAGACATAAAAAATGAGCAATGCCCTAGCCTGGACTCAAACTTCAGACCTCTCGAACACGCGCCGAGTGTGATGACTACATCACGAAGGTATGCTAAGAAGGCAAGAGAAATACCTTATGAATTGAATGCACACAGGTCTGATGATAGGTTGACTCGTACAGGTAATCACAGACTCACAGAGAGCAATCTGTATTTACACTTTAAACTTCTCAGACCGTTAAACACAACGTAAGCAAAGCGCGTCTAAAAGGCGAAACTTTCAGTACTCCGATGTCGCTCTGAGCTCATAAGGTATTTCTCCCGCCTCCTTAACATGCCATCGTAGTGCAGGGGTCAGCACGCTCGGCGCGCATTCGAGAGGCCCGTTGTTCGAGTCTCAGATGGTGAATGGCGACTCACCACCACCAGGATTTGGCGACTGGGTCCCCTAAGAACCCCACTCGCTCTTTAAAAGGGAGAATATACAAGGTATTTCTCCCGCCATCTTAGCATGCCTTCGTAGCGAAGGGCTCAGCACGCTCGGCGGGTATTCGAGACTCCCGGCGAAGGCGTTGCTCATTTTTCATCTTTTCTGCATCGAAATTACCTAATAGTTCTACAAGCTAACAACTCACAACCACAAAATCTGAGGGCAAATGCTGTCTCCATTCTTATACAGTTTTCACCCGGTCGCCGAGATATTTCTGACACTTTCTGCTTCTCGAAATTTCTCGAAGGTACTCGTATATGTGGGCCGAATTACGATTACAGCTAATATAGCGACCAATTACATTTAATCAATGACAATACTTATTTCAGTGATACACGGACCGGACCAAAAAATTTGTCTCCCAAAACCATTGCCAGCTTGGCGATGTTTCTCCAATTTACCGAGATTTTCTCTTTTCGAGATTTCTAGATGTTAAATAGATTTGACTCTGCCTTCTTATTTTTCCGGCAGAGCATCCTCCCTTTAGATTTTTGATATTCCATCATACAGGAAAATACAACAATTTCACTAAAATTATTCGTATAAGTACAAAATTTGTAAGAATATCAATCCTAGATTTGTATTTCCAATTAAACAGCTCCTTAAACTAAGGTACGGAATTTTATGAAAACTGTTTCAGAACTGATTACGATTACGGAATTGGAAAATAATGTTTTTATACACTCCATGCAGAGCGAAAATCAAATTAAATGAAATATTCATTATGACTTCAACAATTAAATACGATATGTTTGATACTTTTATGTGCCAACTTCGTCGATACATTAAAAAATATATTTTTAGAGTTGACTTTTCAGTGTCATTTATTGCACAAAATTTAACATTTTTGAATCATAACAGGATACAACAAGACAAATTTTTCATCTTGCTGACTAATATTTTAATAATAGATTAAAAAAATATTTGTTAAATTCGTCCCTGGTGGTGCTAAAATATTAGGTCATCTGGAAACTCTGCGCTTTTTTTATGATAAATATAAATGAAGCAGCACAAAAACATTAGCAAACTTTTATTGAATCACATAAGCACCATTTTTATTGCATGTTTTTTTTTCCAATTAAAAAAATTCGGGTATCATATTTCAACAAAAGTATCCATTTTGCTAGCCCTCGAATTCATTTAGACGACGTTTTCGTGTACACCTGTACATACGGACAGAATAAAGGATTCTTTTTCCCAAAACGGATTGTAAATTGGATTCAGAAGAGATTTTTTTCTCGAAGTTTGTATGTGTGTATGCATCTCCCATACCTCAATAATGAGCAGCCTTAAAACGTTGAAATTTTGGATATGGGACTACTGCTATAACATGCAATCGTACACCTCCCTTTTTGGTTGCAATGGGCAACAGGAAACGTATATATATATATATGTGGAAATCATTGAAGACCGATGCTGATTTAGCGAATACCTAACGAGGTTACGTCATCATAGCGTAGGACAGTGCGGAGAAGTCGAGACAACGTGAGATAGCGTCCAGACGTGGAGAGGAGCGTAAGCAACCAGACCGCTTTTAAATCCTCCAAGAGTTGGTGGAAATAGATGGTTTCCTTCGATGTTTAAGTTCCTTGTAGCCAAGCTGATCATATTATCTAAAGCTAGCTGTGGATGTTAAGAGGATAAACATATTCTCTCAAGGCATGGGTCTACGTGCCTGTATAACAGATAGTGTGTGATAAAAGTTCATCATTAAATGAATCCTGTGTGGACTGAGTATAACTATCATGACATCACCTGCAATATTAATTTTTACTTAACTTACCTTTTTATTACTTTTATCTATTTCTTATTAGTAAAATAAAGCATTTAATAATGCAATAGATGTGCTCTCCGTGTGTGTTTTTGAAAGTAAATACTACAAAACTTGGCGACCAACCGTGGCGCGAACTCGACGAACTCTCAAGTCGAAAGTGCGTGAATAGTATTCTGAACTGTGTATTTAACTGATTGTGAATTTAGTGGACTGTTCTTGCAAGTTGTTGGATTTATTGGATTACTGTTTAAGAGTTTGGATTACCAATTGAAGACGATCATCTGTCGGGTGAGTACAAAACTTTCCAATATGAAGTTAGTAGAAATTCCAGAATTGGAAGCAGCTTTAAAAAACGGTAAAAGTTCTGAAATCAAAAGTTTGCATAAGCTTATTTTTAATACTGATGGAGATCGAAATAACCGGAAAAGATAACGT